GCGATTTTGTACAGTCGCGCGGTCCGCTTGAGCGAGCGCTGTACCGATGGGGTTCCTTGCGGAGCGAATCTGTCGACGGGCTGATGACAAGGTTTCACATCTCTTTCCGAATCGGAGGCACCTTCGGAGACGAGCAGCTTATTGCGCACTCACGAGTCGTGATTGCTCGATGGCCACCAAGGCGAGGCACTACTACTGTGACTGCTACTTCTTTGACGGCCGCTCCATACCAGCAACAAGATGCACATTCAGTGACAAAAGGGAAGATCTGCAAGTAGGCTGTTCCGTGTGCCTGTGAGCGGATCGAGTTTCTGAGTCAATCACCGAACACGAATGTGGATGAAGAATGGGAGAGAAAGGCATCGTGGTCCGCCACGGGCATAGAGGGGTATCAGGGGGAGCGCAGATCTGTAGCATACATGCTTTTTTGCTCCTTGTGAAGCCTCCCCCAACGGGCAGTGATCGATTGCAAATGCATTCAGTGAATAATGAATAAACCCCTTCAAGGCTATTCTCGTTGATTTCTAGCGCGTAGCGTGTCCCGGTGTCAAGCAACATGGCCGCCAGCGTCGCGCAACGATCGCAGATGACACCTCATTGCGATCCCAAGCTCTTCGAGCGAAGCTGAGCCCCCCGCTCCATTTTTGCTGTCTCTGTTTCGTCTCTCGTGTTCTTCCCTGGTGAATATGCCCAATCGGCAACATCCCGAGGCTGGTTGGGAGATGAGGCACTCAAAGCTTCTTGGATGGAAAGAGGCTATCGTCGTCAGGATGATTGCAAAGAAAGGCTTGGCGGACGATGGGCCAGCCGGACTTTACAGGTGGGGCACGCTAGTAGGAGTAGTCTCGTCCCTCGATCACGCTCAAGATTGGAGCAATAGACGCTATCATGGATCCGCGCGCCTGCAAGTGCCACGATGCAATCAAACAAGTGTGGCCAACCATCGATCGTTCCCCTAAAGCTACACAACTCACTTCCGCTCGCGGTAGCCTATGGTTCACAGGGCATAGCACATCAAAAAGTTTGCATTCAATGAATTGTCATCGCGACATTTGTGTGCAGGAAAAGGACGAAAAACAAGCGTGTAATGCGCCAGCAAGAGCAGCTGCGCAATGACTATTCCTTAGGAGACAAGGTACATTGCGAGAAGAGCAGATATGAAAGGCATGCGATCGGAGGACTTGGGATATTCGGAGACGCGTTTGCATGGTGCTGTGGGAAAGAAGGGAGAAGAATTCTAGTATTTACTTTGAAGACGGGCGCCGCAAGTGCGGTCCGCTCAAGATGGCCCCTTTTTTCGACGCAAGGGCCTGCTCTCTGTCGTATCGAGTGCTTGGTGCTTGAGCTGCGCGCTTGTGCGTACTCCGATTGGAACCACTGCTTCCGTCCGATCAGAGTAGGGTAGCTGCACCGAAGAGGACAGCGCCTACAATGGTCAAGTGCGCCTTGGAAAGCTCCATGTTCAGTCCAGCTCCGCTACCACTACCGCTTCCGGAAGAGGTGTTCTCGTTGTTGCCGTTGGTTGCAGGGGCCGAGTCGGAAGTGTTGCGATTGGTCTCCACGTAAGAATCTCCCAAAGGCTTCTTCAAGCAGGTGATGATGGGAACAATGTTCTGCTTGGGACTTTGGCTCAATGCTTGAGGCAAGACGATCTCGGTGGCGAGCTTGACACTCTGCTCGTACAGGTCATGAGCGAGCACAATGTACCCGTGGTCGAGGGTGGAAGCGTTGGCAATGATGCCATCAAAGACGGAGACGACTTCACCAGCAGAGACGACACCACTGCCAATCTTCCAATCGTTGGTGTCGTAGTTTCCACCGTTGGCCGAGGTCCAGATGATGGGGGTCAAGCCCACGGCCTTGGAGACGCCACGGACACGGTCGTCGATGTCACCGTAAGGAGGACGCATGGTGTTGGGAGTTACACCGGTAATGTCGTGAATGATCTTTTTGGTCCAGAGGAGCTCGAGTGCAATGGCCTCGTTGGTTTGAGTGGTCAGAGAAGTGTGACTCCAGGTGTGGACGGAGAGTTGGTGGCCAGTCATGTACTCGTAAGCAAGCATGTCAGGGCGAGAAAGGGCACGAGAACCGACCACGAAGAAGGTAGTCTTCAAGTTGTTCTTCTCGAGGTAGTCCAACAGAAGAGGAGTGTAGGGCGAAGGTCCGTCATCGTAAGAAAGACCCCAAGTGTTCTTGTCTGGGCACTGGACAATGTCTGTGTCACGCGTGCAGCCTCCGCAAGTCCACCAGCAGTTGCCGCTTGCCCCGGCGTTAGCCAGATTGGCCTCGTTTCCTGCCTCGCCGCAGCCAGCAGATCCCTGGTTGAGAGGGACATCCTTAACGCCAGAGAGGTCGATACCAGCCAGGAGCTGCTCGGAGCCTTGGAAGCTACGAAGAGGAGGTTCATCGAGAGGCGGGTAGTTGGCGATCGTTGGGGCTATCGATGTGGAAGATGAAGAAGTGTGGTCAGAACCGCGCTTCAATACTGCGTTTAGCCACCGAGCCTACTCACCAGAGGGGAGGGGAGGTGCGCCCGAGATGTAGGTGTTGGTGGCACCCGCCTGGAAGGTGGTCGGCAGCGGGTAGGTGGGCTCTGGCGAGCGAGTGCCCGGCGTCAGAGTGGCGACGATACTTGAAATACTAGCAGGGAGAGAGCCGGTGAAAGCGGGGGGGCTGCTGACAGCTCCGCTGCCGCTTCCAGCGGAAGCGGTTGCAGTTGCCGAACTACGGTGGCGACGCGAGCTGCTGCTCTCAGCTTGACGACGCTCTGGGCGCAGATCGGCAACCGCCATGGGGAGAGCCATGGCAGCTGCTGCAGCGACGAAAAGCGAGGTGCGGACCATGGTGAGGATTACTATGTGAAGCAAGCCAGATATCGCGATTGTAAGCTCGGGTCTTTGCACGCGTCTCTGCTGCCCGTCCAAAGTATGTCAACCGAGCACTCACATGGGTAAGGTATCTGTGTGGGGAAAAGACTGACTGAGATCGATACGATGATTTGTTTGACGTGAATGCAAGCAGACTGTCAAGACGTATGCTGCTGAGATCGATAGGCAAGATGTCGTTTTCGTAATCTGCTGTCAACAGCGAAGAAAACGATGATCGTCAACAAGAGTGCGCAGTGGAATGGGAGTAATGGAACCGTGGTGGAAGCAAGAATGGATGGCGTTGCTGTAAGCACGACACAGAAAGTCTTCCGGCAGAGAGGATCGATGGCGATTGGTGAGGATACGGGCACGAGGGCCTGGCAGGCCAACCATGCAGTTGGCTTCACCAGACTGGAGCTCCGCTCGCTGTAGCAGCCCCAAGCTGCAGCACCCGAGCAGCAGCAGAATAGGCCCAGAGGGATTTGATTTGTTTCCGCATCACGGGCAGCTTACCTGCCAACGGCCTTGATAATCCGATCGTGATCTTTGATTCTGCCTTGCACTACTGCCCAGGTGCCCCGGCCGTTGGTGCGGCGTTCGAAAGTCAGGGGAAGGGGGCGCAGCAACTCTGAATTGCGGGTGTCAGCAGCGCGTGTGAGGGAGCGCAGAGAGAGCGGATTCGTCTGCTGCTTAAACGACGGACGAAGCCTCTCTCCTTCCCTCTGAGACGAGCTGCCCCTGATGTATGGCCCCTTGGCACGCGCCCTTTGTTTGGAACAAGCCAAACCTCAGCCTACAGGCTAAGACACGCGCGCCCTGTCCATTAGCTCTTATTCTGCATACAGTACATGCATGGCTTGCAAGCAGCATCGAGCAGCAGAGCTATACACTCACTTACAGCTCACGCCATGCCGCACCTGGACAGTATCTGCAAACCGAGGGCGCGAAGACTGCGCGCTCATGCGAGGTTATAGCAAGGCGCGTCCTGTGCAGGTGGACTACCCATCGAGGCATTTGAACTCTCGCGGTGCATGGGTTTGGATCACGCGTGCAGCAGCTTTGCAGGATGCCAAGAGCGCGCAAACGCGCGCGCACACAGCATTCGTGATTGCAGTCCACCGAAAAGCTTGCGCATATATATGATTTAGCGCTCTCAAGCCCGCGTCCGACTGCACAAGTGCATGCTGGAGATGGCAATGGCGCGCAGTTGTCTTTTGGCCTTGGCTGGAGGGGAATCATGCACGAATGACAGCAAGCAGGCGCGAGGACCCGCAAGACAGGCTCACTTTTGCAAGAACCGTTGAGATGTATACAAGCCGCCGGCACAGAGGCCGGATTCTGGATCTCAGGCACAATAGTAGAGCTCGGCACGACGTCGAAAGGCTGGATGAACTTTGTCGGACGACATCTAGAGTCGCAGGAGTCACAGCTGGAGATGGTTGGCTATTCGATTTCTACTCGGGCGATTTCGCACTCACGACTGTTTGCGAAAGCCAAGCACCGTGCAGTTCCGGGGCGCTTGCATAGCCATACGCGTTGACTTCGAGCGCCACATTGCCACGTGGCGCTCGCGCTTCGTCGTGCCATATGCTTACTCTTCCAGCGCGCTCAGCAGCTACTCAGCAGCTATGACTTCTGCTGAGGTGGTCGGGCAATGTGTGTCAGAATCGATCGATTGATGAAGCACCTGAGGGGACGTATGCTTGTGTTACAGAATCTTGAAGGTACGGGACAATAGAGAGGTCTGCAGCTTCGGGAAGAACCGGGACTAGGGGCGGGTCATTTGTATCGAAGCTCGCTAGGTTGAGGAAAATGCGAGTGGGGAGACGGGCCCAGGCAGGATTGGGCTGCGGAGAGGTGCGCGCAGAGAGTAAGATGCAAAATGGTGTTGTTCGCAAAGTGGAGCGAAGACGTGCTACAAGAGGTGGCGGAAATTGAAGACAAAAAGAATTGATGGGAGCCTGAGTAGGAAAGGACACCCATCAAGAGTGCGACGTGGACTCTACTGGGGTCTTGATCTCGGTCCACCCTTCTTGGCAGACAAGAGGGAATGCAGGGTACTTATCAACTCTACTCTTCGAATGGGCTTGGAGACATAAGCGCTCATACCCGCCTGCAGGCACTTTTCCTTGTCGCCAAGCATGGCGTGCGCTGTGAGGGCAACGATGGGGACCCTGTCATCGGTGGGCAGAGTGCTCTCGAATTCTCTGATGGCAATCGTAGCTTCAATGCCTCCCATGACCGGCATAGAGACGTCCATTAAGATCACGTCGTACTTCCTCTTCTTCACCGCCATGACTGCCAATTGGCCGTTGTCTACCACATCCACCTTGTGGCCTTGATTTTGTAGGATTTTGCAGGCCAGCTTCTGGTTGACGACATTATCCTCAGCCAAAAGTATGTCATATGACACCTCGTTGCTTCCCTCTGATGGGGCTGCTGCACTGCTCTCCAGCGATGGCAGTAGGGTTGCGAACAGATCGGCGAGTGTGATGGGCGTGTTGGTGTAGGACGAGATGCCGTGGTCGAGACAATAGGTCAGGTTCAGAGTGAGTGCCGAAGGAGAGACCAAGTTGATCGGGATGTATCTCAGATGCTCAACAGTTCGCAAATCTTCGATGACGCTGAGTGAGTCGGCAATGATGGCATCGATGCGCGGCATGTTGCGTTTACGCTGAGCCGCTTCTTCAACGCTGTGTGCAGTGAACACCTTGAGCCCGAGCTCCTCCAGCATACCTTGGACACCCGTCCGGTCGTGCAAAGTGTCAAGGTAGAAAATGTTCCGGCCCACGTACGGATGCATCTTTTCGCTGACCTGCTCGCCATCCACACGGTCCAGCTCGACGAGCATGGTGAAGAAAAAGTCGGAACCTCTGCCGTAATTTGACCTCACCCAAAGGTCACCGCCCATGAGGTTGACCAATCTGCGCGAAATAGACAGGCCTAGGCCTGTGCCGCCATACTTTCTGGTCGTAGAGCCGTCGGCTTGACAGAAGGTGTCGAAAATGACGTCAAGCTTGTCCTGCTTGATACCGATACCAGAGTCGGAAGCGCAGAATTCCAGGAGTGCAGAACTTGGCGAAAGCATCTTGGCCAGCGTGCACTTGAGCGCTACCCGTCCGCCGGCATCAGTGAACTTAATGGCGTTACCAATCAGATTGGTGATGATTTGCTTGAGGCGAAGCGCGTCTCCAATGAGGGGGTCAGGCACCTCGGACGCCACTTCGTACATCAGATTGAGCTTCTTTTGGGTCGCTCGGACGGACAACGTCTTGAGGACGCTGAAGACGATGCTTCGCAGAGAGAAGGGAATCTCTTCAACATTCATCCGACCCGCTTCGATCTTGGAAATGTCGAGGATATCGTCGATGATGGCAAGCAAGTTGCCTGCCAGCGTTGAGACGGTCACAAGATTCTCGCGCTGGCTTCTAGATAACTCCGTCTCGAGTGTGAGGGCGGTCATGCCGATGATTCCGTTCATCGGTGTCCTGATCTCGTGCGACATGTTTGCCAAGAATTCGGACTTGCTGCGATTTGCCAGCTCGGCTGCTTCTCTGGCGGCGGTGTTTTTCTGAATAGAATCGCGCAGACTGTAGACCATCTGATTGATCTTGGTCTTGAGCGAATCCATTTCTCCGGAGGCTTCGACAGTGACGAATCTGGTAAAGTCTCCATCCGTTGCAGCTGCGGTAATTTGCGCGAACGCACGCACTTGCGACGTGAGGTTGTTCGCCTAACAAGATAAGAGCAAGTCAGGGCTGATTCCGTACAAAGTTGGCGATCATTCACTTACCATAATGTTGACGTTGTCCGTGATTTCAGCCCACTTGCCCTTGATGTCTTTCTTTTGTGCTTGTACACCCAGTTTGCCCTCGGTCCCTACCTCTCGCGCCACCCGGGTCACTTCTGAAGCAAAGAATGACAGCTGCGGAGGGGCGGTATTCAGACGTCAGCGCCTGCTCTTCGACAAGCCTCGGCAAACTCATGCCGTGAGACTGACTTGGTCAATCATGTTGTTGATGGTGTTGACCAGGTCAAGAATCTCTCCCGATACGGAAATGGTGACCTTTTGGGTGAGATCGCCTCGAGCGACAGCCGTCTACGAAAGGGCATCGCAAAGTTGTGAGCTGAGTTCGGGTGGCGCTGGCATCACGCGCAGTGTGCAACTCGACTTACTGTAGCGTGGGCGATAGTTCGCACCTGCAGCGTGAGATTCGCCGCCATTGTGTTGACAGAGTCTGTCAAGTCCTACAGGAGGCAATCACTTAGCGTCGGCTGGGGCAAGCACACGTGCCTCAGACATACCCACTTTCCATGTTCCGCCAACGCCGAGCACAGTGGCTCTACCACCCAGCTTGCCTTCGGTGCCGACTTCCTTTGCCACACGAGTAACCTCTGTAGAGAAGGTTCGAAGTGACTCGACCATGTTGTTGACAGTAAGCTGTAGAAGGCAATGACGTTTCAGTTCGGACACCTTCAATCGACGGAAGGCGCTGTCTGTGCACATACTTTGAGGTCGAGGAACTCTCCTCTGACTTCCACATTGATCGTCTTGCTAAGGTCGCCGCGAGCGACAGCTGTAGTGACGGTGGCGATTGATCGTACCTGCGTCGTCAAGTTGCTGGCCATCATGTTGACTCTTTCTGTGAGAATTTGCCATTGTCCTTTCACATCGTCCACATTGGCCTGACCCCCAAGTCTACCTTCTGTGCCGACCTCGACAGACACTCTGATGATCTCATCGGAAAGCGTCTTGAGTTGCCTGACCATGTTGTTGACTGTCATCTTGAGATCCAGAATCTCTCCCTTGACATCCACAGTGATGAACTCGGTGAGCACACCTTCGGCGACACATTTAGTAACGCGAGCAATTTCTCGAACCTGACTCGTGAGGTTGTCTGCCATCTTATTGACATTCTCTGTCAGGTCCTTCCAGGTGCCTTCGACGTTCGGAACATGAGCTTGGCCTCCAAGCTTGCCGTACGTTCCGACTACAAAGTGGGATACAGGTAGCAGGCGTCAATGATTGAGAACGCGTAGGAATGCTTTGGCGGGGCTAGCCTCACCTTCCATCGACATGCGGACCACCTCGCTCGCGAACACTCGGAGCTGGCCAACCATCGAGTTGACAGTGTCTTTGAGCTGGGCCATTTCACCCTCAGCCTCGATATCAATGACCTTGGTCAGGTCACCCTTGGCAACGGCAGTGGTGACCATACCAATGGATCTGACTTGTTCGGTAAGATTGGAGCACATGCGGTTTACCTGGTCGGGCACGAGTCGCATGCTTCAGCAACTAGCTAGCAGACACCTCTTCTTAAGACCACTTACATTGACGGTCAATTCCTTCCAGACTCCTTGCACGCCTGGCACATGCGCTTGTCCACCCAGCTGGCCACGACTGCCTACTTCTCTGGATACGCGGGTCACCTCGTTGGCAAAATGCCTCAGTTGATCGACCATCACATTGATCGTCACCTTCAGCTCCAAGATCTCGCCATCTGCCTCTACTTCAATCTGCTTCGAAAGATCTCCTCGTGCAACAGCCTGACAATGGATTGGCGGTTGGAAGGGTCAATGTCCTGAGCTGGGATACTGACCAGTCTGCGGATCACGCTCACCTTAGTGACTGAGGCGACACCTCGGACTTGGGTGGTAAGGTTCTCGGCAAGTCGATTGACGACGTCCTTGAGCTCCTTCCAGCGACCCTCCACGCCTTCTACTTCCACCTGCCCACCGAGCTTGCCTTGGGTGCCCACTTCGAGGGAGACGCGGGTGACCTCAGCAGCAAAGGTGGATAGTCGATCCACCATCTGGTTGATGATGTCCTTTAGCTCCACCATCACATGGCCCTGCACGGGTACGGTGATATGCTGAGACAGGTCCCCAAAGGCAACCGCTTTGCACACTCTGGCAATGTCCTGAACTTGCGCTTTCAATAGTCGAAGCTCTTCCTGCGCGCTCAGGCCACTCTCGTCGCTGTACTTTTCAAAAGCTCCAACTGCATTTTCCGGCGCATCAGCTGTGCCTCTGGCTGGCGTGAGGAGCACCGGTCCATCGCGACCCATGCCCAGAGGGTAAGAGAGGGGGTACGTCGAAGATTGAGGGTGAGCGCCGGACAGCGGGTAAGGAAAGCCAGGCAAAATGGAGGACTTGGCCTCCGTTCGAGTCTCGTTGGGCGAAGAAGCAGCTGAAGCAGCAGCTGGTAGCGAAGAAGCGTGAGGCGGCAACACATCCCCGGCTGAGCGCTGTACCGACGCGAGACCGGCATGCTGCGTTGCAAAGATTGGCACTGGACTTGCATGGCCAGACACTGCGCCTGTAAGTGTTCCCGCAGAGCTCACACCCGAAGCAGCTGCCTGCTTGAGCAGTACATCTTCCAGGTCTTCCTCTGCTTTCCAAAGCCTCTCCACTAGACGACCCAAGTTCGACTCGATCTGCTGAGTGCGCGAGTCTCCGCCATCAAAGTGAAAGCGCGGGAGCGGTAAAGAGACGACACCTTCACTGTGGTCTTGCAAGTCTGGCCCTTGTGCACTGTGCAGCCCATTGCTAGGCCCTGATGCTCCGAGCAAGGGAGCTCTTTTAGCAGAAGGTGAGCCATGTCCAAGCGCGGTTTCGTACTCGCTTCCCACACTTGCACCATCCTCTGATTCCCCAACTTCTTCGGCAGCTTGACCTGAAGCATTTGCAACATCATCCTGCTCCGGTGGCGTCGAGACTGCGGGCGAGATCCTCGTTAGTCCCGCATCTTGCAGCCTTCTGAGCGCCACGGGTGGTTTGGTGTTGACTAGAGATTGGGTGATGAGGAGTAGATGGTCCACAAAGTTGTCCGGTAAGTGACCCAAGTCTGGTAGAGGAGACGAAGTGGTGCGCGACATGCTTGAAGCGCTTCTTTGAGGACCTGAAGAGCCTACGCCCACATTGGAGGGCATGGACACTGCGGCTGCCATGGCGCCTCAAGCTGAGCGTTGGAGGAGCTACGATCAGCAGGAGGATATCAAGTTGACTCCGATTGCGCCAAGAGTCGCTTCGGGTCAGAGAGCACCTCGCAGTCGTAGCAGGCTGGGAAGAGACTAAGCCAGAGGTCAGATCGGAGTTGTTCGCGCACTGAAGCAATATCTCTTGATCGCGCGCAATACCGCCGCGCGAACGGTTTTGCGTGGACGCAACGCCGAGAGCGTGAGAGCGAGCCGGGCTGCTGACCGAACCGAGCGCCACTACTAGCTACCAGTAGCGGTCGCAATCGCGATGCTCGCGCACGCTTCGGACGGAGCGGGAGATGACTTCGACGCCTGTGATCTCGTGATGGTAGAGTGCGCCCGTGGCCAAACGCTTAAAGCGAACCGCCAGCGGTGAAGCTTGAAGGGAATACTTGGCTGAGGGCTTCCCTCAGATGGCCATGGAGGAGTTGGCAGCCTCTCGTTGCTAGCTAGAACTGCTTAGCCAGATGATGATGACGATGCGTACAAAGGTGCGAGGGTGAGTGAGACGTGGTCAAAGGTGTGCGATGAGCGAGCGACCGACCTTTGCTTGGGAGCCGTGACGAGTTGTTGTGGAAAAGCTGGTCTTTGTTAGCGTTCAATTGACCCAAGACTCACAGACTCCGGCGTCATAAGGGACCGACCCCCTTCGCTTGTGATCGATGCCGCGCACAGCCCGGATGCCGCTGCTGGCTCGAGTCGGCTGCTGCGAACGCGCGCGGGCATCCGTCCACGCACATATGCTGCAAGCCGTTCTGCAGCTCTTCTGTTGCGTTGCGTTCCTCGCGAGCGCAGGCCGCGCGCGGGTCTTGCGCCCGTCTGCGGACTGACTGATTGTTAGTATCCAACCACATTGACTGCAAATGATGTGCCGTTCGTTGACAGGTCTGCGGGCCCAGTCTGCTGGCCTGCAAGACATTCACGATTTGATACGCCGACACTAGGCTACCACACACTCAGACTTTGACGATCATATTCTTGACTTTTGACTGTGCGGTTGTAGAATAATAATAATCGTGAACAGGGGAGCGTCGGTGCGTGCTAAGCCAGTCGTAGTATAATATATGCCCGCATACACGCTGCCCACGGCACCCCGTGCGCATGCAGCAGAACCTCGCGCGCATACCTGCAGCAGTCACAAGTCACGGGTGTGAGTACGATAGTGAAGTGAGTCAAAGCGAGTGAGTGGTACGGTTGCCGTGCCTGACCGGTACGCTCGGAAGGTAACGACGGCACAGCCCGCTGCCGTTGCGCTTCTCCCGCAGCGCGATGTGTACCGACCGGCACAAGTCTTTTGACAACTGACAAGCATAACAGCCGACGGACTTTGCTTCCGTTCCACAGATCTAGGAGCTCAACGCTCGACGCTGATCATCATCGCCTCGACCCTGCGATCTCTGCGAGAGCGAGAGCGCGAGGGTGGTAAAGCTGAAAAGTCGATTCATGGGAATTCACGCTTCATGCCACCTCTCTTTGCAACGCGGGCCGCTCCTCTTCGGAGAGAGTCTGAGAGCTTTTGTGTAAATCAAGAATTAGATTGTCTGATTTTCGCCATGGTCTGTACCGGCCCTACTCACTCTGACCAAGCTGGTCAAGGGTCGCAAGGCAGAGAAGTGCATCCGGGCTCCTGCATCCTCTTTTCGACTCCTTCATGCCTCGATCGGACGGTCGCCAGGTCAAGGGGACCTCGAGCGGCGATATGTGCACGTCTTTTCTCGACCTTGAACGTTGAGAAGCCTCGTGGGTTTTTGCGTGTGCAGCCGCAATCCTGCCATGTCGGGGGATATAAAGAGTGTATGAGCAAGGCAGTACTTGGCGACATTCTCCAAAGGCTGCGACTGCCTGCCTGTTCATCACGGTGCGACGGAGGCTTTGTGGCCCTATTGGTGCGCCGAGGACCTTGTGCGCGCGGCGAGCGACGCACCGACCCCTGCTCGTCATTGTACACCAAGATTACCAGCTTTCCCTGCGAATCTAGGAGGAACCAGCAATGACAAAGCCAGAGTAGTCATTACGTATGTCATCTTTGCTACGCGGTCACTGAGCCCTCACAGGCATTGGTGATTGCGCATGCTGAACCTCGCAATGAGACACTGGGCGCCATCGTGAGACACCAGCAATCGGTACTTCGTTCCCTACCGCCTACAAAGATTGCGATCGACCTGCTTTCACAAACCCGCACTTGGCTGATTTTCAAGAAAGAGTGGACAAAGGACAAGACTCTGCAAAGTGCAGGCTCCATGAGGAACAGAAACGAGTCGCGACAAGGAACCCAGATGACGAGAACTATATGAGACGGGGGCTGGGAGAGCAGGCTGAACGGGGAGAGTGCTGCTGTCCGAGAACATTCTCAGAGGCCGGCCGGCGTTGCATCGTGTGAGTCACGCGCGGTCGGAGCTGCGTTGTGGAGACTCAGAAAAAGCCACGCACATCCAGGTACATCATACCTGCGCCCTCGCGCGCGCACGCGAAGGCGAAGGCGAGAAAAAGAGCACAGAGCACAGAGCACACACAAGCACGCATGGATAGCGCGCGAGGTTCGATCGACGGTGCCCTTGCGCGGATGACGGACAGCACGATAGCTATGACTCACGAGCAGGACCGTTCCTTCCTTCGCACGTACATGCTCCCGCTCCCGCTTCCGCAACCAACCTCTCTTTGCCTCAAGCAGCATGCTGGGTCTCGCGAGCATGGCGGCGTCGCGGACAGCGTTTCAGGCAGGCAACAGTCTGAACAACGTCTACTGTCGTCCACTCTCTCGACGATTCTCGCTGAGCAGTTTCCTATCTTCCGGGGCGCAAGGGGCAAGCGGAGGAGGTCGAGGAGCAGGAGCCTCATCACCTTCCTCGACGGATCCCAACTCCCCAAATCATAATGCTAGCGCCGCTCTGGATTACAAGCTGAGCCATAGGCTTAGGAAGTTACCCCCCTTGCCCAGCCTAGAGCCTCCAAATTTGGATGCGGGCGAAGCTGTCAGCAACATCCTTTACAATACTCCGCCTCCCAGCAAACAGCCGTTCAAGAGGTGAGCAAAACTGCAGGCCTCGAAGGTTCTTGCTCGCCCGCATGCTGCAGCAAGCGCAAAATGACAGCTGCGACTGACCGCCTTGCGGCCCCCCCC